AATCTAAAAAGTTATATAGAATTTAGTTAAGTAAGGTCAAATGTCAGAAATTCTTTTCTTCTCCCACTGTTAAAGCAATTCACAATTAAAAAACTCTCAATGCGACTACCATAATAGATATTACTTTTCCGTGAATCTTTTTTTTTTTGCTTAATAATGAGTGAAATTTTCTCCTTTTCTTTTACTTTGTAATTAAAATATTGTTTTCTGTAAGCTCAAAACGAATGTGCGATATGGAAAGAAATTAAGCAAACTGGAAATTTCAACTCTTTCTCGGGACATATCATAATTGCACCGCAGAAAATTATAGAAACAGTGGGAGATTGGTCGAACTTCGATTACACCCAAAAATTGGGTGTGGCGAAAGTGTCGCCTGCTTAATTGATCGGACAAGTTAAAAGTTTTTTGCGGAAAAAAATGGGCAATGGATTTTTTAAATAACAAGATGGTCACGTTCATGAATATTATCTAATTGAGCAGTGACAAGAAGCAGAAGTGAGATATGACATAAACCAGGACAAAGGCTTTCTTCAGAAGAGGAAAGGTCCTTTGAGGGTCAGATGGTTGATACGTATCTTACTAGCTTGTAGCGCCGTCACAAGAGTAGGAAAAATTATAATTGTCTGTGACAGCTTCTTAAGACATAATTATCATTATCCCGAAAATTCATTGTCACACTTTGAATGCGCATTGCTTCACTCTATTGACAAGTGACAAAAAAATGGTATAACCGGCGTCATCAAATTTTAATTTGTGAAATATTCGTTAAGAAATAGCGTTCTAAAAATGTTGTGAGAAATATTACTTAACTTTAAATCAACAAAAGCGCATTATTATTCGTATTAACCATTCATAATAACGTTCAAATTTCGCATACGGAATTTCTATTATTTAACTTTATCTTGACGATTTTTTTCCATTTTACTCTGTTACTTGCCCACCTTCCAATTGTTGCGGGACTGTCGTCATCTCTTCCTCCCAGTCATATTGCGCGTCCATCGGTACGCAGTGTTCTTCCCGTACCTGTATTCTTTGGAACTTGATTTCATTTAAACAGTTAATTGCAAGAATAACTCTGTTAAATTCACTGTTACGTTATATGCAGCAAAGTTCAGTCGAGGCATAAGAAGCATGTACCGTAAAGCAAT